GAATGCCTCCACTTCCTTCAGTGTGTCAATTGCAGGTTGCTGATTAAAAAAAAAACAAACTGTTCGAATCACCAAACAAGTCATGCAGAAAGCTAAAGATTCGATTCAAAAAGCTAGCTGGAGGTAATTTACAAAGGCAGTAAAGTTGAAACATTGCCCCCGAAATGAATGGCAGAGCCAGATATCGTTGTTGAAGTCATACATATCCAGCATTAGGCCTCTAACTCCATTCTGCAACAAGTAACACACAAACACACATCATATTAGAACAGAACTTACTCTCCTAACCGAGTTAATGTCTGTGCCTCTAATGTTGCTCCTTCTTATGTTTAGATTTCTTCTCCTGGTTGGTTGAACTCTTTTTTAGAGCCTGTTTTTTCAATAAAAACTTGGTCCGAGTCTGGTGAAAAAAAGAAACGCTTACTTAATTGACATAACTATCTGCCAATTGGCTTCTTATCTCTCCTACCTGAAGCTTGGGCATTTCCCTTTTCCTTTTTCCTTCTAATTTTCTTTCCGTTTATAAAGAGCCAAATGGAAATTTGAACTTGTATGAAGGATAATAAGAACATACTCTCAGCTGATTCGTAACACTGTCTTCTTGATTGTAAAATGTGAGCCTTTGGGAGCCTGGCAAAGGTGGAGCATCTACGATGCTGAAGGAATTGTGTGTCACCAGCCAAGTATACTTGTTGAAAGGCAATCCATTGATCTACACATACACAGATTTCTTCACCATATAATCAATAACACAGAAAGTGAAAGCAGCTATAACAAGAAGAAACCGCCACCGGTACCGAAAATTTTCAAGAATCACATCATCAAGATCAAAGGTGCATACTTTGAAGCAAAACCCATGATCAAGTTACCAAATTTACACAAACCCATAATCAAGTTCACAAATCTGGAGAAGCCCAATAAAAATTTTGGACATTTATAAGAACCCATCAGGGGAAATCTCACAACAGAAGTAGGAATGGTGGCTTGGCCTCTTGTGCAGATTGGTTGAGTTTTCCCAGAGGCTGGGCAGTTACCGCAGTACAAACCTGGGGCACAGTCGGTGGCCGTCGAACACGAATCCAGTGCCTGAAAAAGTAAATCCCACCCAATTTTTAGATCACTCGCATAACGACAAACATGAGAAAATGGCAGAGATCAGGAACCCAGATACCTGGCAATTGCCATTAGAGCAAGATGAGGAAATGGAGAAACAGAGAGAAAGGAGAAGAAGCGTTAGGTGAACGACTGGTGTGGCTCTGCACAAGCAGAAGCAGCTGATGCACGCCGACATGGCTGGGT